TTCAGTGCAGTTCTCTTTTTATGTAATTTTTGTTTAATTAGTTTTCAAAGTTCGAAGGATATGTTTTGCTTGTAAATATATTTGAGCATCCTCGTGTCTTTGGTGTGCTTGCACATTCGTGCATATAAATTTATGCACACCCACACTGCAACACAAGTTCAAGTTGTCACTTTGACAAAAAATAGGTTATGTTTGCAGTCGACGGAACTGAAATTTTAGAGTGGAGATGTGCTCGACTAGATCCGCTTTGTCTTTAAATGTTGCCAGCTTGGCCGAAGTTCGGTTGGTTGGTTTCTTTTTATCAGCTAAAGTAAATTAATTTTATAAAATTTCATCTAATGTCTCTAATTTATTTAGCCCTTCAGTCTGTTTTCGTTGACGATTAATTATTCATATGAATAGAAATAACAGGGATAGGCAATGGCTTAATTACTAACTCCCCAAAAACATGAACAAATATTTTTCTAATAAATTAATTCATTAAAGCAAGTGTAATTAATTATAAAGAATAAGGAAGATACTCTGTGGAATATGTCTTACATTGGATAGTTAAAAACGATATCCTTGTGAGTAATATTTAAGATGCTATCATCAATACAGCGAACAATTTCACTTTTAAAAATCATCATTCAATCCATTAAATAATTTTTATTTCAATTTGGTTCATGTTTTCATTTTTAGGCAACCATATCAAGTTCTTACTACATATTTCTCAAATACCATTCAAAATCCAAATAGTATCAATTATAGTATTCCAACCGTAAGATTTTCAGGGCATGGACATTCTATATGACATTCTATTAATAGACAAATTAATAGAATTGTAAATAAATAGATGCCATGTAACGAATTTTAGCCTTTATCTTTTAACATATTTCTCAAATACAATACAAAATGCGAATAAAATAAAGTATTATTAATAACATTGATTATTTATTAATAATAATAAAATAATATCAATTGTACTATTCCAACCGAAGTGTATGGAATATGACAAATAGATTGAATTGATGGAATTGAAAGACATAGAAATAGATCCCATTTAAGGTATTTTTACTTCCTTTTTACATGTTTCTTAATTACGATTAAAAATGCAAAAAATATTATATGGATTGCAGAATCTAAGCTGAAGGATTATCTATATTTTCAATGTCCTCTTCTTATATATTTTATAAATACCATTAAAAATGCAAAAAAAGTAATATCGATTATAGAATCGATAGCCGAAGGATTAAGCTGAAGCCGAAAGATTATCGATACCATTAGTGTCCGATATGTCATGTAGAAAATTAGTGAAACGAAAAAAGATGGAAATAGTTCCCTTATAAGGTATTTGAGCTTTCGCTTCTTATATATTTTATACCATTAAAAATGCAAAAAAAGTAATATCGATTATAGAATCTAAGCCAACGGATTTTCAGTATCTAGCATGTCATGTAAAATATTAATGCAGCCAAAACAGATAGAAATAGTTCCGATGTAAGGGATTTGATGCTTCCTCTTCTCATATATTTTATGAATACCATTAATAATGCAAAAAAGTGATATCGATTACATTATAAAATGTAAGCCGAAGGATTATCGATATCATTAGTTCCGATATGTCATGTAGAAAATCAGTGAAATCGCAAGAGATAGAAATAGTTCCCTTCACAAGGCATTATATACTTCCCCTTTTCATAATTTTATTAACGACAAAAACCTTTGCTAATAATTAATGGACGCTTTGGTGAGATTTTTTTTAAATTATTTTGTATTTTTTTGAATTTTTTTCTTTTTATATAAAATAAAATTATAAACTTACAATCAAAAGTCACTTAAATTTACAAATCTCTAAAAGTTACGTTTCAATCAGAAGATTCCCTCTCTCTCCGATGCTGTTTAGCTTTGAACTGAACGTTCGATCTCAGTTAGCGCGGGTAAAGCTAATTTTTAATTTAACTTACAAACGTAATTTTCATAAAAAGTGTCAAATTTAAAAAAGTAGGGTTTACAGATACATGAAACAATAATCATAATAATCGTAATAATAATAATAAAATAACATAGGAAACACAAAAAAAAAATTTAAAATAAAAGGAAACATAAATTAAAGTTAACATAAAAGTAGTACAGAGGAAGCTTAAATAAAACTAAAAAATGTAATAGATTTTAGAGCTCACTCACTTCTCTTTTAAAGAGAAAACAAATACAAATACAAAACAGATTTTCTTTTTCATTTTCATTTTAAATTAAAATAAAAATAACACATTAAATAAAATAAGATTTTTTAAAACAATAACAGAAATAAAAAAGTATAAAATATAAAGGAAAGTTTTGTGGCTTTTAGAAAATTAGTGTTTTGTTGTTTTTAAATTTTATTAAAGTGAAAGGTTAGAGATGTATTTGTGTGTGTGTATGTGTATTTGTGGTTCAGAAAAGAGTTTATGAGGAGGCAGCTTTGGCTTTGGGTGCACTCTTGGTGCGACCTTCGGTATTTAATCCAGCTAAGAGTTCACTTTTACGGATGCTCTTCAAGTCCAAATCGCCGTAGTAGTCTTCACTGTAATTGTATAAGGAGTTGGTAAAGAGGTAAAATGGGTTAGGATGCTTCATAACACAAATGTATTTTTTTTTCTTTTTAATTTTTTGTTGAGATTAAAAACAACGTGAAAATAGTGAAAGAGCAGTATGTATTGTACAAAAGGCAGCAAGAGAGCGCAATGGATTATATAGTATAGAGCACAAGCTTCTTTCAGGCAAATAAGCTTGATAAGCAAAATTTTGAGCTTTCATCCTGACGGTATAATCGTGTGAAACACAACCGAAAGGACTTTATGTTAGTGGCAAGCCAAAATAGTTTTCATACGCTTAGAATACCACAACCGTAGGGCATGCAAAAATACAAAAAGCAAAGCATTTGGTGCTTTTGAATTGAACTTACCAGCCGGGAACATCTTCTGGATCTTCACAGTTGCCAGTACCTTCACCATCACCAATTTTGAAAACTGTGCCAATTGGGCAACCATATTCACGTGCAACTCCCTCCAAGCAGATGTAGTATTTACGGCAATCTTCGGGATGTGCGTGCCTTGAGAATGAACCGGCATTAGCAAGTTCACCAGCAGCGGGACAAGAGAAACCATTAGCAACTTCTGCAAAGTAGAATGTTAGTTTAGAATATATATTAGTTTTTGTGTAATTGTGTTTGTAAGTTTAAATAAGTTGTACCTTCATTTTTGCATTCTGGTACTTGATCAGCCCACATGCAAACACGTGCTTCGCGGTCATAAGCCAAACCGGGTGAGCATTGATATCTTGATGGTTCACCATTCCAGCAGTTCCAGAAGACGTCACATTTGTTTTCATCAGGGAAGATACCGTACAAGCGTGAGCAGTGTGGTGTGGAAATTGGTGGTTCTATAAAATCATAATAATAGCATAGTATTAAAACTTTTTATATAAAAAAGATTTCATTGAGTTAAAAAATTACCCAATTGTTCACGCTCTCCGCATTCTACATTGTGCAAATAATCACAGTTTTCAGTCAAGTATTTTGGATCTGAGGAATCGAAAGCCAAACCATTACCACAGGTCTTTAATTCAGAAACATTATTGTCACATTTCCAGTATTTATCACATGATACGGTATGTGGATAGAAACCAAAATCATCAGGACATTTGAAGGTGTCTTGGGCCACAGCTAAAAATATAAGAATAAGAGAAATTATATTAAAACATAAATAAAAAAATAAGTGAGCTGAATATCTATTTTTTAAATATTAAATATTATTATGATTATGATTTAAAAGATTTTAATAATACAAATATATAAAATCTAATTTGCATTTTAAATAAATATATTATTTATATATTTTAAATACATATTATATTAAATAAAAATGTATCAAAAAGTTAAGTGAGCTGAGTATTACTTTTTCAAATTTTTAATAATAAATATGCTTTAAAATATTTTCATAATACAAATATATAAAATTTTAATTTATATTTTAAATAAATATATTATTTATATATTTTAAAAATATAAATAATATATTTAATATTATATTTTTTTCTTTAAGAGCAAATAAATTCAACAGAATCTATAATATTTTAAGAGCACTATAGTATTAACACTTCAATTCGCTGTAGAAACACAAAAAAAAAAAAATAAATCACATTTTTATTTAAAAAATAAATTGCTTTTACCAAACATTTAATTAAAACAAAAAAAAAAAAAATTACTCTTCAAAAATTAGTTTGAGCTACTGTTTTTATATTCGAGTACAGCTTCGAGTACATGACCAATGTTATTTTCCGTTTTGGTGGCAACCATTTCAGCATTGCCAACATCAACAAAAAACCGCAATTGCAATACGCAAATAACAACAACAAATTGTAAATCAAAATATGCCAATAATTGCCATTGTTGTTATTGTTGTTCTTGTTCTTGTTGTTGTATAACAAATTTACAAATTTTATTTAATGTTTTTTTATATGTATATACATAAACAATAATATATAAATAAATAAATTTTGTTTTTTCATTAAGCCATATATCAAACAATCAGTATAAAATAAAATAAAGCAGCACGGAACTGATATATAATGAAAATGTAATGTAATTTAAAGGCGTTTGGCATTAGTTAAAAAAATTTTAATTTTAATTTCAATTTCAGTATTTATTTGTTTTTGTTTGTCAGATTTTTTTGCAATTTAATTTGATTTACTGCGGTCAGTAACTAAGCTTTTAAATATAGTTAGTGCGGAGGTATAGTACGAAAAAAAAACTCCTCTGTTTGAATTTAAATACATAGTGAATTTGTAGTCATTTTATTACTTTATCCCCGAAAGGCTTAACCGTCGTTGTGTTTACAAATTTTGATTTGAAGTGACGAGGTGAGCAAAAGTGTTGCCACAATTTTGTGGTTTTGCAATTAGATTATCACATACAATTCTATTTATTTTTAAATTAAGCCTTTTGCATATGTTTTAATATTGCTTTGCATTTGAAATGAATTTTACCTTATTTGATTGCATAGTTTTGTGCGCAATATTTAAAATGCTGCCTATGCATTGCATACCCACCCACAAATCCACCTCATGACCGACACTACGTTGCTATGTAAATGCAGTTAGTTAGTTGGCATTAATTTTGTGGTGAATTCTGGTACAAAATTATATTTGTGTTTATTTTATTTTATAAATAATTGTTATGAAAATTGGGTTTTTAATTAAAAGTGAAATTTAATAAGTCAAATATTAAATTTAAAAAAAGGATTTACTTCATTGTAGCCTAGTTTAAACTTTATTGTAAATTTTTTTTCCTAAATATGATTTTGTTCAAAAATTTTTCGATTTTTTTTAATAGAGATTTTTAATTTTAAATAAAATAATTTTTATTTTTAATTGATGAAAAAAACTCAAAACTATTTTAGATAAATTTTTATCACATTTTTTTTTTGTATTTACTATTTATATGAACAAATAAATGTGGATATTTTTATATATGTATATTAGAGTTTATTAGAGAATTATAAATATATTTATGTAATAAATCATTATACCAAAATCAACCAAACTGAATCAATCCCAAAATTATGAATGCACTTAAAATATTAAATAATTTTGCATTATCGTTAAGATATTATATAAGAATAGTTTATTATATTAAGCTGTATTTATTAAAATTTTTATTTTAAAAAGATAAATATATTTTTTTGTTTAAAATATTTATTGCTAAATTGAAATTTTTATGTAATTCACAACTTAGCTGTCACTTAAATTTTCAATTTTAGACATATGCGCAGAGAAGCAATTCATATGGAACTCATTGCCAACTCCTTTTACTTTTACTTTTATCTCGAATAATTTTGTTTTTATATTTCATTTTCATTTTCATTTTTTATTTTTTATTTTTTTATTTTTATTTTTTCATATCTGCATTAAATGTACGATTTTGACTGACTTTCTAAAGCTGACACGATAAAATCATGTTAAACTTTTCGAATACAATATGCACTACACTATATTGTGCAATATAAATCGGTAAAGTTTTGAAATAATTACACACAAAAGCACATGTATGCACGCGGGGAGAAGAAGCGAAGAGAAGGAGTTTGTTTATATGCGAAGCATGTGTATCGCATTTAACCCAAAATCATCCTTTCAAAAATGCTACAAGGTTACTGCAATTTTCATATTATTTAAGCTTATTGTATAAGTAACTACATGTATACTTACATATATATTTATGTATATCTGAATTTTTCTTTTTTTTTGTTATGTTGCAGTAATTTAATCTGCAAAGATGCGAAGTCTTGTGATGTGCATGCCAACTTAAAGAAACCATGCAGTGACTTTTAAAGTAGTGAATAAATTGCATAAGACCAACTTGTGCTTTAAAACACTTGTTTTTTTTTTTCTCCCTAATCGGATAATGAATTTTACGTAAATAACTGAAGGATGCGTACTTTAATAATTCATTTTTACGTAATTGATAATCATTAAAAATGCTGTGCAAATTTCAGTAA